CAAAGATCTTATATTTATTCAACTTCTGGTGGTAAATTTTTATTTGCTTGATCAATGCTCCGTAGTGTAGATCGAACGAATCTGAAGTTGACGAATTGACCACAAATTACGAATTAAACTAGTATTTATATGAAAACGTCAATCTTTCTGTTAAAGTAGTAGATCACAAACTCGTATATTCTCATTCCTAAAATCCCAGTTCAAATCCTAATTACTTGTTCTCAAGAAATCGCTTGTTTTCCTCGAAACGCTTCGTCGATGTAGGACACAATTTTAGAAACGCTCTTACCATTTTGTTTTGATATCATTTTCAGATCATAAGAGAAGAGTTTGGAATCGAATATATCTCTCAAAAAGGTGTTGTACTTGTTAGGCAAATTGAAACGTCCGAACCTGCCTGGTGGTGCTAAACGTGCAACTAGCTGACTTAAGCCTACATTAGATGATGCCATGCATACATGTGTGCTAAAACATAAAACTATTTAAAAAATGAAAAGTTTATATGTGAATTAATCTTTCTTCTTTTGATGCTAAGGGGTATAATAGATCTTTTCTTTCTCTTCCTGAAAAGGAAAGTCAAGCTATGTATTTCCTTTAGAAACTGATCTAGACTACCGCAGCGTTTCCAGTTCACTGTGTTAACCAGATCGGAGCGTTTCTTGAATATGAGAATGTCATCATTTTTAAGACTGGATTTTCGGTCATCAAATCACTATTACGATAATGTATGGTGCGTTGAAGCATTGAAATTTGACCAAAATATTCGTTGGTGCTCTAATCTTGGCTCAACTAATCACATGTATTGACAAAAGGGGTTTTGACCGGTAGAATGACAAATACGTTTTTGAATTTTAATATCTATACTGCTTCGTACAGCTCTAAATCTAATCGCTTCAAACGTCAAAAGCCAGCCAAGTACAACATGAATATCATGCACCCATCGAATGGTATACTCGGAATAAGTAACTCATACCTGCTATTCCCATTATTGGGGAAATCGTCAGACGGCTCATCATTCCCGCCCGCCAGTTGTCCTACTCCGGAGCGTTTTTTTGTTTAGTTTCAGTAATGAAACGCTCCGTCGTGCATGTAGCGTTTGGGTTAGACACCGTGGAATCCAATGTAAAAATAGCTTTAACGTAATCTATGGCTATGGTAATCTATGTGGAAATACTCATGGAGTTATTGATTTCTAATTTTCTATAAACATAATTAGTCTTATAAAATAATATTAAACGAGAGCTAATGGAATAAAATATATCATCAGAGAAATTATATTCAAGCAGATTTTGAAATTCACTGTTGAGAATCCACGAAGTTACATTTAAAGGGGTACATGTACATGCACTTGTTATTTTTAGGCAAGATAGACGATTGGAAGAATTTCTTTACAGTGGCCCAGAGTGAACAATTTGATGAATTGTACGCTCAGAAAATGAAAGACACGGACTTCCCCCAGCCGATTCATGAATAGTGTTCAAAGTATGGGACTATGGCAGTAATCTACAATACTAATATGAACTGTTAGCAGTACGTAACTTCCTTCGACCTGTCTATGAATAATCAGCAACCAGAGAATGAGAGATAGAATGGGGTTCACCTTCACCATAAAACGTGTAAACAATTTATTTATAAATAGTGTGCTAAGTTCGATACAATGACAGCCATCCAGAAAACTAATATGAACTACTTCCTTCAATCTCTCCTGAATCTTTCTGTAAATGATGTGCAGAATATGACTATGTGATTCTAATCTTTCAACCTATCTTTGAATAAACAGAAAACTCAGAATTAAAGAAAGTGCCTTCCCATTTTCATAAAATAGATTCTCAAATGGAAAAGTATTGTCTACCTTTGGTAGACAATACTTACAAAATTATTGATTTTGATTTGTAGTCTCGAACTTTGAGAAACTTAGATAGCACAGTTTGTGACCTAGTTTGAGCACTTTTGACCTTGAACAATACTGTTTCATCAACATTATCAATATCACTCAATTGTACTTCACTAGTCACTAAAGCTGATAATAAAAAAGGTTTACATAAATACACTGTAAGAGATGGACAACTCCTTACCACTGACTGTACATGTTTCATCATTGATACAACAAGGCATTAACATGACAAAATGTGACCATATAGTGGAAGCTTTAACAAATTGTTACCAACGAAAAACAACCACCGAATACCATCCACAAAAAAGTTGGTAACCATAACAATATGTCATCACTTCTAGTGGTGACATAGAATGTATATACTTGAATATTGAAAGTGCATCAGGTACCTAATCTACAGCTGCCATAGGAACCAAATATTAAACACAGATTAGTCATAAAGTTCGATCCTTCAAATATTTCTTGGAAGCCTATTTTCTATATTTCCGGATGAGTCAAAAAAATTTTTTAAGATAAAGGGTTACAAGTAGAATTTACTGACCATCTAAAATTAATAAAAGTTTCTTCAACTTTCTAAACAAACATTGTTGCATCAATATAGTGTACATATATGGGTAATAGATCCTGATAGACATGCCTTCCCTGACTGATTATTATGTTATCAAAGGGGGGGGGGGGGTCGGATCCCTCCCCCTGGCTAGAAATCCTTTCAAAATCATGCAGTTTTTCAACATTCTGAGCACTGTCTGCATGATTTTTTTTGCCAAAAACAGTCAACAAGGCACAGGACGTGAACGAGATCACACCATCAAATAGGCCGCCAGAAAACAAGATGGCCGCCCAAAAGTTAATCAGTTCTAGTACTTGATATCCTCTATCATTTGTGTAAATTTGAAGGAAATCCAATGAGCGGTTTTCCTGAAATGGCGATGACAAGAAAAACCTTCAAAATGGCCGCCAGAAAACAAGATGGCCACCCAAAAGTTAATCAGCTCTAGTACTTCATATGCTCTATCATCTCTGCGAATTTGGAGAAAATCTGATGAGCAGTTTTCCTTAAACGGCGATGACAAAAAGCGGGACGATCACGACCACGACCAGTATGACGACTATATCCCACCGATGGTGGGATAAAAAGTTCCCCCCTTGGCAAAAGCTTCCCCTTGGTAAAACCACTCCCCCTAGGTAAATCCTGGCTACGGGCCTGTTTATATATACAGATTATATATATATACAGGGTGGGCCAAAAAAAAACCAATACCCAACTTTAAATTAGAATGAAAATAGCTATGTTCAATATGATACATTGATTTATATATCATTTTAAAGGTAATTCATTTTCGAACAATTTGGTATATAACACTATGTCATGAAATCAATATTGAAGTTTTATTATGCTTATTTGGGAGACCGGGTCGGTATTTGAGGTATCCAGATTTTAGGGAGAAAATAGTAAATCTGCGGAATACTGTTACTTTTTTATTTATAGAACATCATTTTGTTAGGTGAGTACATGCTTGTATATTTGCATATTGTGTGACTAAACTTATTGTTAATGAATTTCAGTGTTGTTTATTATCAATAAGTACTCAAAGGGGGTATGTTAAAAGACATTAAACGTATATGTGACGAGGATATTATTTTCCATCAAGACATTGCCTCGTACCATAGATCAAAGGAGACATTGGCATTTCTTTGCAAACAAGGTGTCAATTTGATTGATCTCGATGCTTGGCCACCCAACAGCCCCGATGCTAATGTGTTTGATTACCGTACATGGAGCCATCTCGCGGAAATGGTACAATCAAAACCATCCAATAAACAGCATTGATGAGCTGAAACAGAATCCTAAAGTACTGAAATGAATTGTAACAGAAATCTCTCAATAAGGCTACTGATAGATTGCGCTACCGCTTGAAGCTTATTGTTGATGCAGAGGGGAGGGGGTGGGGTATATTGAGCAATTGTTAAAATTGTTTAAATAAATGAAGTGTAAAATGTTATTAAACAACACTGAAATTCATAAACAATAAATTTAGTCACACAATGATGCAAATATCAATATCCAAGCAATGCTTGGCAAGCATGTATTCACCTAAAAAAAGAATGATACTCTATAAATAAAAAATTAACATAATTCCGCAGATTTACTATTTTCTCCCTTAAATCTGGAGACCTTAAATAGCAACCCGGCCTCCCAAAGAAGTATAATAAAACTTTACTATTGATTTCATGACATAGTGTTATATACCAAATTGTTTGAAATTGTATAACCTTTAAAATGATATGTAAGTCAATGTGCCATATTGAATGTAACTATTTTTATTCAGATTTGAAGTTGGGTATTGGTTTTTTTGGCCCACCCTGTAGATTATTCCTCATTGTAACAGTGAGAGTCAGTCTGTTTCTATAAAACAGAAACATAACATACTGTACAACATGTTGATCTGTCAAAATCAACTCTCAATTGAGAATCCAAATTCAAATGATCAAACTATGTAATGATTTCAAATTCAAATAAGTCTTTAATTACGTTCATATTCAAATGAGTGAGGTACATACAAAGTACAATGTTTCATATTACAAGAATAAAAATACATATTGAATTTATATGACAGTATGAAAGACAAGCGGCCTACCTAATAACAGTGCACTAATAACATTACTGTAATTATAAAGTGAAGATTCACATATTCATAGTCTAATGATTCTAAAGATGAAACGGCGCTTTCTAAAATAAGAGTTATATATGATGATGAAACTAAAAGTGTAGTGTTTGATGGCTTATAAATACACTTGTTTTAAAATTGCAAAATAAACGCATGCAAAAACATATATACGTTTAAAATCAAGCCATTCATTCTAGCACTGATTGCATGTAACAACAGACTCTAGTACATGTATTGATCCTAAGAGGCAAACTGAACTAACAATAGACTTTACAATAATAATATAACAATAGATTCTATAATAACAATACATTTGCAGATATGGTCTTAATAATCTCAAATGAAAAAGCTGGGCCAAGGCAGGATTTTCTGACAACATAGTCTAATAAGAGGCGATATAATGGAACTATAATATTGCAAATATCTGCCATACTATTAAAAGTTGCACCTCAATAAGTTGATAAAAAAGATTATGAGGACTTCAAAGACTTAAAAGGTGAAAGATAATAAACATTACAAAAATATAAAAATGGGAATATTGCATTCCATATTTCATAATTTCCATAATTTAGTACTTCAGTGATAGCGGGATAGATAAAGAAATGTCTATCCTGACCCGAGATACATTCTACATTCCTCTATGATTATGTAGAAAGAAACACAGTAGGTTTTGGATACAAAATGTAGTAGTTGGGATCTTTTCTCTGTGTACTGTAGTCTCGATGTTTCAGAAAATAAATATTATACTAAAATGTTTTTTCCTCACAGCTTGGTATTTGAATTTGCCATAGAATGATCAACATCCCCATTGCTTAAGTTCATAACAGGGCGGTCATTCCCATCGGAAAGAGCACTTTTAACATCAAGTATTAACTCATCACTGTTTGTTTTACTGTCATCATTGCCGTTTCCAAGTTCATTTTCAAACATTTTGGCAGTGGCTTCACCTGCAATCAACTGTCGTAGAACAAGCTTTTTGTAAATGCCACCTTTCTGAAGTAGGTCACTATGGGTTCCTTGTTCAGCTATTTTGCCCTGGTCTATCACAATAACCTGGAATTGCAAGAAATTGAGATTTCTTGAAAAGCTACATACTTGTACAGTAAAACCTGTTCGATGGAACATCTTTCTGTAATAAACACCTGTCTACAAGGAACAGTTTTTAAAAGAACCAAATATTTTTCCATTGACCTCCATGTTATTTTTGGGGGTTTTGTTTTAATTTTTGGATACTTTTTGTTAAATCAAGCAAAATTTTCAATTCAATTTCAATTCAATTCAATTTATTTATTTCATAATTCTTATATAATATACACTATAAAAACGAGCCGCTAGACACCCTAGTGGGTATATGTTGCGGTTTTTCCTTTGTTTTACTAGAATATTGAGAGGTCTTGACTGTTGACTGCCAAACACCAACTGCCAATCTCCAAACACCATCCACAAAAAAGTTGGAGACCATAACAATGGTGACATAATAAAATAATGTTTCCTTGGTGACTTATACATGATTATAATTTAGCAGGCTTGTTTTTATACATCATACATGTGTGGTCAAACAACAGTAAACATTAGAATGTGCTATCAACATTTCTGTCCTGTTGATTTGAGAAACTTTAGTCCAGTCCAAAGGTTTGGATGTAAATCATCTAAATTTAACATTCAAACAAGAGCATGGTATTAAGCAAATAGAAACTAGATAAATAATTTAAGAGACATGAATAAAGCATCCAGTAAGATACCCTTCTCAAGATCTAGTCTTGTCTGCACTCTTAAGATGAGTGATTTGTAAAACACACAGTCGCAAAACATTATGATAATCATACATTTTGTTACTCTCAGACAGCTTACCATGTTTAAGATATATTAGATCAGCTCAGACGAATGTACAGATAGATGAAGGCTTGTACTATATCCCCCGAAATTAATTTGATAATTATAGTTAGAGGGGCAATTAAGATTCAGAGTATCCCTTATACAACACCGGCTATCTTTACTGATTGTGATATAAAGGTATTACTAATGATAAAGAGAAAGGATTGGTCGCTAGGAAATCATTTGTTGTTCAAGGCTGACTCGAACACAGTGGATAATAAAGAATTATAGCCAAAGACAAAGCTGCAAATATTACCAACTGCTGTGAAAAGGAGGAGGAAAACACCAGACATGAAGTTACCAACAGTGCTACTGCTGTGCTGTTTCATGTTTGTAGCATCAACAAATGCGTTGGAATATACTATAATAGGAGTTCTAAATTTATTTTCCTCACTTCCATCTCCACTTTTCATTGGAGAATCTCTTAAAAATGAAACAATATTGAGTCAAATGACACCAAAATGCCGGCAAGATGTTGATATTTATAATGGGATCTTAGCAAGTGGAACTGCTGGTTTCTTTGTGCCCATTTTAACAAGTAAGATTCAATATTCCTGTTAATATGCTCAGTATTTACATGTATGATGAAACATACTAGAACGATCGAACCTGCTAAGTGGAACACCTCTGTAAGTGGAACACCTCCAAGTGGAACACTTTTTGTGGTCCCAAGGGTGTTTGATTTACACACATTCTTCTGCAGTTTGTTCTTGAACAATAATACTATTTCAATGAAAAACATTATATGCTATTTTTCGAGTAATTAAAAATTGTAACTTGTTAAACAAAAGTAACATTCTGTCTATGTATTAAAGTACAAGGCATGTGCACAAAAGTAACATCCTGTTTACATTTAGGCATGTGCACAAAAGTAACAACCTGTTTACATTTAGGCACGTGCACAAAAGTAACAACCTGTTTACATTTAGGCATGTGCACAAAAGTAACAACCTGTTTACATTTAGGCACGTGCACAAAAGTAACATTCTATTTACATTTAGGCACGTGCAAAAATGTTACATCCTGTTAAATTTTAGGAATGTGCACAAGAGTTACATCCTGTTTACATTAAGGCATGTGCACAAATGTAACATGTTGAAGTGCATGGCATGTGCCCAAAATTGTTGGTGACTGAATATATTAAAGAAGCAAGAGAAGGTCTCAAAGCCCCAGAGGAACAATATTGCTTTGAATTTAAATAGTACAGCCAGATCTGTAGTCACCTATGTAAAAGGATATGATTTAAATAATGTTTGGTTATTTTAATGTTCCAAGTGCTCGACTCAGATGGAAAGGAAAAGCCTGGATCATTTGGTGGAGCTATTAACTGGATAGGAGCATATGATCAGTGTAATGGGGTAGAGGTATACAATTTATGATATATTATCATTGTAAAGGGATACAAGTGTAGTGTATTTATTTATTTTAGTATTTACTTGATTCAAAACAGAACATTTTCCGAGGTAAACGTTGACATTTTTTCAGAGAACTTAATTGTATATTTTGAATTTTTATATTTAGGTTTTTCAAGTTTCAAAATGGCAGATCAGGTTGGGGATGCATGTCAAACATGATTCATGGATGCATTCAATTGCCACACCCAATTTATCTTTTTGACCTCTTAAACATGTGAACCTCAAGGAGGTGAATAATTGATATTAAAAAAATTCTTGATTGAATTTAACTTAATCAAGCTCTGTTGTTTTTATTTTGTTTCTATTGAACTCTACATAGTGCAACATTTATAAGCATTATTTTGTTTGTTTTTCTTGTTTTAAGATGCTTGCTTAAATTGTAAATATAGATACTTGGAAACAATCTTTTCTCATAGTATTCCAATGTTTCTCTGACATTCTTTTTTTGAATAAAAAATTCAAAATCTCAAACTTTTAAGCGGAATTATCAAAATGTTTGATAATACTGAATTTAAATTAGATTTGTTGGAACTTTTAAAACATAAGTATGACATTGAATGTTGACAGTAAAAAATGAGATAAATTCTATGCTCAACTTATTTTCATCCACATTATTACACAAACATATAAATTGTTATTACAGATGGAAACATATAAATTGTTATTACAGATGGATGCAGACATCCCAATAGGACAGAATACTGTCAGGCTCAAGTTCAAGGGACAGTACATGTCTATCAGAATATGGGCGATTGATCCAGACAGGAACAATGCATATGTTAGTATATTAAGGCAGTTTTGCATGTTGAGAATAATTATGTAATTTTCACGATTTTTAATTATACCTGTAGATAATTAATAAAATTGGTATTTTTTTCAATCAGTTTATGTGAATAATTACATGTTATGGTGGTAGAATAAATTCTTCTCAGTCAAAATATTACAATCAGAATGTTGGTAGGACATTTTCCTGGTTATTTCTATTACTATTGGGTCAAAGTGTGGAACTACCTTAAGATTCAACATTTGTAATTTCTGCAAGAGTATACAGACCTTTGAGTGTTTTTCACCAAATCATGAGTCTACAAAAAAACTAGAAAGTATTCTGATTCTCCACTATTTTATTCAGACACCATTTGACATTGGAGCATGCGTCCCTGACAGTTGTAGTGAAGATGACGTAAGGAGATACATGACATATGGGGAAAAGTCTGTTGTTCCAATGGAGGTTTACAATGGCAATCAATGGAATAATATATGGGCAGATAGTGGTGCTATAGCTATGATGTAAGTACATGTTGGTGTAGAAAATGGCAAACAATGGAATAATATATGGGCAGATAGTGGCGCTATAGCTATGATGTAAGTACATGTAGGTGTAGAAATTGGCAAACAATGGAATGATATATGGGCAGATAGTGGCGCTATAGCTATGATGTAAGTATATGTAGGTGTAGAAAATGGCAAACAATGGAATGATATATGGGCAGATAGTGGTGCTATAGCTATGATGTAAGTACATGTAGGTGTAGAAAATGGCAAGCAATGGAATAATATATGGGCAGATAGTGGTGCTATTGCTATGATGTAAGTACATGTAGGTGTAGAAAATGGCAAACAATGGAATAATATATGGGCAGATAGTGGTGCTATAGCTATGATGTAAGTATATGTAGGTGTAGGAAATGGCAAACAATGGAATGATATATGGGCAGATAGTGGTGCTATAGCTATGATGTAAGTACATGTTGGTGTAGAAAATGGCAAACAATGGAATAATATATGGGCAGATAGTGGTGCTATAGCTATGATGTAAGTACATGTAGGTGTAGAAAATGGCAAACAATGGACTCATATATGGGCAGATAGTGGTGCTATAGCTATGATGTAAGTACATGTAGGTGTAGAAATTGGCAAACAATGGAATAATATATGGGCAGATAGTGGTGCTATAGCTATGATGTAAGTACATGTTGGTGTAGAAAATGGCAAACAATGGAATGATATATGGGCAGATAGTGGTGCTATAGCTATGATGTAAGTACATGTAGGTGTAGAAAATGGCAAACAATGGAATGATATATGGGCAGATAGTGGTGCTATAGCTATGATGTAAGTACATGTAGGTGTAGAAAATGGCAAACAATGGAATGATATATGGGCAGATAGTGGTGCTATAGCTATGATGTAAGTACATGTTGGTGTAGAAAATGGCAAACAATGGAATAATATATGGGCAGATAATGGTGCTATAGCTATGATGTAAGTACATGTTGGTGTAGAAAATGGCAAACAATGGAATAATATATGGGCAGATAGTGGCGCTATAGCTATGATGTAAGTACATGTTGGTGTAGAAAATGGCAAACAATTGAATAATATATGGGCAGATAGTGGCGCTATAGCTATGATGTAAGTACATGTAGGTGTAGAAAATGGCAAACAATGGAATAATATATGGGCAGATAGTGGTGCTATAGCTATGATGTAAGTACATGTTGGTGTAGAAAATGGCAAACAATGGACTCATATATGGGCAGATAGTGGTGCTATAGCTATGATGTAAGTACATGTAGGTGTAGTAAGGGCAAACAATGGACTCATATATGGGCAGATAGTGGTGCTATAGCTATGATGTAAGTACATGTAGGTGTAGAAAATGGCAAACAATGGAATAATATATGGGCAGATAGTGGCGCTATAGCTATGATGTAAGTACATGTAGGTGTAGTAAGGGCAAACAATGGACTCATATATGGGCAGATAGTGGTGCTATAGCTATGATGTAAGTACATGTTGGCGTAGAAAATGGCAAGCAATGGAATAATATATGGGCAGATAGTGGTGCTATAGCTATGATGTAAGTACATGTAGGTGTAGAAAACCACAAACAATGGACTCATATATGGGCAGATAGTGGCGCTATAGCTATGATGTAAGTACATGTTGGTGTAGAAAATGGCAAACAATGGAATGATATATGGGCAGATAGTGGTGCTATAGCTATGATGTAAGTACATGTAGGTGTAGAAAATGGCAAACAATGGAATAATATATGGGCAGATAGTGGCGCTATAGCTATGATGTAAGTACATGTAGGTGTAGAAAATGGCAAACAATGGAATAATATATGGGCAGATAGTGGTGCTATAGCTATGATGTAAGTACATGTAGGTGTAGAAAACCACAAACAATGGACTCATATATGGGCAGATAGTGGCGCTATAGCTATGATGTAAGTACATGTTGGTGTAGAAAATGGCAAACAATGGAATGATATATGGGCAGATAGTGGTGCTATAGCTATGATGTAAGTACATGTTGGTGTAGAAAATGGCAAACAATGGGATAATATATGGGCAGATAGTGGTGCTATAGCTATGATGTAAGTACATGTAGGTGTAGAAAACCACAAACAATGGACTCATATATGGGCAGATAGTGGCGCTATAGCTATGATGTAAGTACATGTTGGTGTAGAAAATGGCAAACAATGGAATGATATATGGGCAGATAGTGATTTGTGCAACTTCTCTAATAGTGCAATTATCACGTGATATCATATTTCTACACAATTTTTTGAGTGTCTGAGACTTTTCTGGTGGTAATTTTACAGTCATTTCGACAGAGTTCAAAATGAATCCAAGAAACGTTATTACCTGTGTAGGTTCTAGTGTCACCTTCTCAGGGTGGATTATGAAGCCAAGCTTTCGAAGCAATGTGATCGTGTCAAACAAATTCTGCTTGCATTGTTCATAGGTTTCTGCAAATAAACAGCAATCGTCAATGAATGCTACTGACAAATGACCTTCATTTCGCAATTTAGCGTACACAGGCTTCATTATTTTAGTGAATATTCTAGGAGCGGAACTCAGCCCTTGAGCCAAACATGTATACTGATACAATTGGCCTTTCCATTCAAATTGCAGAAATCTTTGAGAATCATAAGCAATGGGAACACTGTAATAAGCGTCCTTAGCGTCGACGCAGGACATGTACATATTTGGTAACAAAATGTCAATAGCATGCTGTAGATTCTCCATTTTGAAATGATGATATTCTACGTTTTTATTTAAATCAGATAAGTTGAGGATTTTTCTTTTTGATCCATCATGTTTGGGCGTAAGAAAGATAGGTGAAACATAACCTCTCTCTGAGTGATTAACCGGGATGATTATACCCTTCTTTAGAAATTTATTGATTTCTATATCCATGTTTTCGTTCTCAGATTTAGAGAATTTTGAATTTCGAGCCCATTGATTTTGTATAATATCATCATTACAAAATTCAATTGTATAGCCATTAATTGCATTTAAGATTGATTTGTCTGACGTCAACAATTGCCATTCATGCATAAATTGTTTGAGACGACCACCTTGAAATTCTTTGACTGAATTGTATAGAATTGATCTTACCTTTTCAGGCTCGGTGTCAATCTTGATAGGCTCTTCTACTGTGAAGCAGCTTGGTCCTGGGACGACTTGTTCTGGGACCACTTGCCTCTCTTGGCGCCATTTCCTTTGTAGGAATTCCGCTGACCGGTGTTTGACTTGTCGCCTTGCCATAAAAAATGGTTATTGGCTCCACGTCCACGACCACGGCCTTTATAGCCTCCATGGTAACCACGACCTCGGTTACTGAAAACGCCTCTCAGTTGGGTTTTATTCATCTCGGAAATTTCCTTGACTTGTTTCGAGATATCGTCTCCGAATAGCTACTGAGTGATTGGGACGGATTTTGCGCATAGGTGTTTAAAACCCTGGTTGATTTCGTTTTTGAACAATTCTCGTCTGCGCATATTCAACTTCAGGTTCGCATACGTGCAGAAAAGTATATTTTCATATACCATTTCGGCGATATTCCCCAGCACGTCGTCGTATTCATCAGTATCTTTAGATAACGATTGTTTTAGGCCGTCCACTTTCTCAAGAGCACGTGACGAGGCAATTATGCCTTTCACCAGAGGTGATTGGACCTTCTGATATTTTATATCATTGGAGCGTACCTCAGACGTTACCCTTGCCCAAATAGGTTCGTTTACCTTGGTAGTGCATAATAAGGGTACATTCTCGGGAGTTTTGTGCTCCTCCATTTTAGCGGTCATATCATCTTCGTCTGGCTTCGATTGCACAAGCTCCGTAACCATTTCGGCCATAAATTTATTTAACGGAGGGCCCATCTTGTAACTTGGCCTTATCATGGATTTTCTTCATGAAAGTGGACAGAGCATTAGCCTCGGAGTTTCCTTCATGTGTTTTACCAGAGGTTTCACACGAATCAACATCCATAGCATTATCAGACTGTTCATAATCCTCATCATAATCAATTTGATTGGAAATATCCCAGGAGAATTTCATATCCTGAATTGCTTCGGTCATGCTATCTTTAATATTTCCTAGACCGACAGTCAATGCTTGCGTGATGTCGTGGACTAATTTCACCGAGAGTCCAGAATCCTCATTTGATACACTTGGTGTATCTGTTACAGAAGACCTCTTAGAGGTGGTAGATTTACTAGTAGACTTTGATTTACTAGAACCAGAATCCATGGTTAGTGTAGTTGGCGTTTTCTTTCCCTGTTTGGGACTAGAAACTTGTGCTTCAGCCATCATATAAATTCCACGTGGTATAATTTAGCTTGCCACGTAGGTCTATTCAAATAACACACCTGAATAGAATTGACTCAATTATGAGCTTTGCGTTGTAATTGGTTGACCAAATAGGCTTAGCACAGTATATACGCATTCAATATTGAATGCTTCACTGAACACACGTTACAAATTTAGAAAATTCTCATAACGTACTAATGAATAAGGTTGTATCAATGTACATGTACACTAGTAAGTTGTAAACTTACTGAGGGAAATGGATTCCTAATATAAATATCCCTGCAATTTTGCAGTTAAGTTCAATTTTGAACTGATGTGAAATAATTATATTTCAAACATGAACATGTGAAGCTGCTTTGAGCCCACGTCTGTTCTCTTTGCGTGTCTGCAACACACTGATTACTTATTAGTCTGTTGCGTGCGCAATGCTTTCTCACGTGATCTCCTTGAATATGTAACATGGTAGAATCTTGCATAGCAATAACGTTAAAATAAAATGTAGTCACAGGATTGTACATACTTATTGGCAAAGGAGTGTACCTACTTATTGGAATAGGATTGTACCTTCTTATTGCCACAATATTTTACCTATTTAATGCAACAGGATTGCCAAAAGATTTACCTACGTATTGTCACAGGTTTGTACCTACTTATTGCCACTGGTATGTACCAACTTATTGCCACTGATTTGTACTTACTTATTGCCACTGGATTTGTACCCTCTTGCTGCCACAGGGTTGTACCTACTTACTGCCACATAATTGTACCTTATTCCTACCACAGCCTGACAGGATTGAACCTACTTACTGCCTCATGGTTGTACCTTCTTACAGCCATAAGTGTACCTTCTATTTGCCACAAGATTGTACCTACTTATTGCCACAGGATTGCACCTACATATTACCACAGGTTTGTACCTACTTACTGTCACAAGTTTGTACCTTGTTATTGCTACAAGATAGTACCTACTTATTTCCACAGGATTGTACCTACTTACTGCAACAGGTTTGTACCTTCTTACTGCCACAGGATTGTACCTATTTACTGCCACAGGTGTGTACCTACTTACTGCCACAGGATAGTACCTAATTATTGCCACAGGATTGTACCTACGTATGGCCACAGGATAGTACCTAATTATTGCCACGGGATTGTACCTACGTATAGCCACAGGATTGTACCTACGTATAGCCACAGGATTGTACCTACGTATAGCCACAGGATTGTACCTACGTATAGCCACAGGATTGTACCTACGTATGGCCACAGGAAAGTACCTAATTATTGCCACAGGATTGTATCTACGTATAGCCACAGGATTGTACCTACGTATAGCCACAGGATGGTTCCTACGTATAGCCACAGGATGGTACCTACGTATAGCCACAGGATTGTACCTACGTATAGCCACATGATTGTACCTACGTATAGCCACAGGATGGTACCTACGTATAGCCACAGGATTGTACCTACGTATAGTCACAGGATTGTACCTACGTATAGCCACAGGATTGTACCTACGCATAGCCACAGGATTCTACCTACGTATAGCCACAGGATTGTACCTACGTATAGCCACAGGATTCTACCTACGTATAGCCACAGGATTCTACCTACGTATAGCCACAGGATGGTACCTACGTATAGCCACAAGATTGTACCTACGTATAGCCACAGGATGGTACCTACGTATAGCCACAGGATTGTACCTACGTATAGCCACAGGATTGTACCTACGTATATCCACAGGATTGTACCTACGTATAGCCACAGGATGGTACCTACGTATAGCCACAAGATTGTACCTACGTATAGCCACAGGATTGTACCTACGTATAGCCACAGGATTGTACCTACGTATAACCACAGGCTTGTACCTACGTATAGCCACAGGATTGTACCTACGAATAGTCACAGGATTGAACCTACGTATAGCCACAGGATTGTACCTACGTATGGCCACAGGATAGTACCTAATTATTGCCACAGGATTGTATCTACGTATAGCCACATGATTGTACCTACGTATAGCCACATGATTGTACCTACGTATAGCCACAGGATGGTACCTACGTATAGCCACAGGATTGTACCTACGTATAGCCACAGGATTGTACCTACGTATAGCCACAGGATTGTACCTACGTATAGCCACAGGATTGTACCTACGTATAGCCACAGGATTGTACCTACGTATAGCCACAGGATGGTACCTACATATAGCCACAGGATTGTACGTACGTATAGCCACAGGATTGTACCTACGTATAGCCACAGGATTGTACCTACGTATAGCCACAGGATTGTACCTACGTATAGCCACAGGATTGTACCGACGTATAGCCACAGGATTGTACCTACGTATAGCCACAGGATGGTACCTACGTATAGCCACAAGATTGTACCTACGTATAGCCACAGGATTGTACCTACGTATAGCCACAGGATTGTACCTACGTATAGCCACAGGATTGTACCTCCGTATAACCGCAGGATTGTACCTACGTATAGCCACAGGATTGTACCTACGAATAGTCACAGGATTGTACCTACGTATAGCGACAGGATTTTACCTACGTATAGCCACATGATTGTACCTACGTATAGCCACAGCATTGTACCTACGTATAGCCACAGGATTGTACCTACGTATAGCCACAGGATTGCACCTACGTATAGCCACAGGATTGTACCTATGTATAGTCACAGGATTGTACCTACGTATAGCCACAGGATTGTACCTACGTATAGCCACATGATTGTACCTACGTATAGCCACAGGAGTGTACCTACTTATTGCCACAGGATTGTACCTTCTCACTGCCACATGATTGTACCTACGTATAGCCACAGGATTGTACCTACGTATAGCCACAGGATTGTACCTACGTATAGCCACATGATTGTACCTATGTATAGCCACATGATTGTACCTACTTATTGCCACAGGATTGTACCTACTTACTGCCACAGGATTGTACCTACTTACTGCCACAGGACTGTACCGACCTATTGCCACAGGATTGTACCTACTCATTGCCAATCCTGTAGGTAGAATCCTGTGGCAGTGAGTAGCTGCAATCTTGTGGCAGTAAGTAGGTACAAGCCTGTGGCTATACGAAGGTACAACCCTGTGGCAATAATAAGGTAGTATCATGTGGCAGTACGTAGGTACAATACTGTGGCAGTGAGTAGATAAAATCCTTATTGCCACAGGCTTGTACCTACTTACTGCCACAAGATTGCAGCTACTGTGGCAATAAGGATTTTACCTACTCACTGCCACAGTATTGTACCTACTTACTGCCACAGGATAGTGCCTTATTATTGCCACAGGAGTGTACCTTCGTATAGCCACAGGATTGTACCTACGTAAAGCCACAGGATTGAACCTACTTATTGCCACAGGATTGTACGTACTTACTGCCACAGGATTGACCCTACGTAAAGTCACAGGATTGTACCTACGTATAGCCACAAGATTGTTACCTACTTATTGCCACAAGATTGTACCTACTTACTGCCATAGGTTTGAACCTACCTACTGCCGCAGGATTGTATCTACTAACTGCCACGGGATTGTTCCTACTTACTGCCACAGGATTGTAACTATGTACTGCCACAGGTTTGTGCTCTTATTGCTACAAGATTGTACCTACTTACTGACTGTCATAGGTTTTTACCTTCAAATTGCCACAAGATTGTACCTACTTACTGCCATAGGTTTGTACCTACCTACTGCCATGGGATTGTATCTACTTACAGTCATAAGTGTACCTTCTAATTGCCACAAGATTTTACCTATTTATTGCCACATGATTGTACCTACGTATTGCCACAGGTTTGTACCTACTTACTTCCACGGGATCGTACCAACATACTTAAAAGTACTAATTAAAACTAAATACAAATGAAGCATAATTATATGGAAAATCAAACCGCAATCGACTTGTAGACGGTTTATCTATATACGATTTATAAAATGGTAATACTTACTGTTTACGTAGAAGATGAAGATAAATTCCATGTATACATCATTCCTCAAATATTTCATAGCATCGGATTTCGAAGCACGAATGGTGTGGTTATAAAGTGGAAATATAAAATGTTCGATATTATGTGCATGACCGTTTTCTGAACTGAAAAACAAGACAAAACGTCTCCCCATCTTAACTGAAACTATTTCAAATCTTCATATGACTGTGTATTATACATTAGCATTGTGACCTACTTAGACATCCGACTGGCACTTGTAATCTGATACTGCTACCTACTGATACGCTTGAACTTTATTAATGGTTATTTACAGAAATATATCATGAATAACCAACAATGGTGTATTAAAAGGATTTAAGTGATTTCCCTAAATCAGATAAATACCACGAGGTATTGTTGCATGGTTGAAATAAGCAGTAAATAACCTAACTCATCGATGATATTTTGATAAATCAGGTAAATACGCATAAATAACCGAATAGATATAAACGTATAAATACAAACATGTCCATTTATGTTCATTAAAGCGATTTTCGGGTTTAATAACCAACTAACTATTTGCGGGATTTAGTGGTATTTACTTTATTTCACACAGTGTTATCTCCCTATAACTTTGAGATACACTTGACTACAGTGCTAGCAACATAATATGTATAAATCAGTGCTATAGTTAATGTATAACTGATTTTATAGAATGGTAATATAGTACCCCCCTGAAATATTATTCTAGGGGGGTAAAACTGCTCAGAATCATTCGTCCACAAACTAAAAAGACCCAGACATATATGAATTGATGCTAAATGAAGTTATCTTTCAGAACAATTATGTCTATCAAGTGGCCCATGAACTTCCCAAAACCCATGCTATATCCTGGCCTATACAGGTATGTACATGTATATGGATGTTTACCATCAGAGTTCATCGTCTGAAGTTCGGGTTTAGTTATTTTAACACTTGACACTCGACAGACAAACAGCGACTCATCGGAGTAACAAACCTCACCAAATTATTATAAGCAAATCCTTTATTTTGTTAAATCATTCATAATTTTTCATAAGTTTTTTATAGAAAATAGCAGACAGTGTATTGTCTCCTATTGGCGAAATCTGCACAAATGACGTAACTCGAGTAATTTCAAGATCCCTTTCTAAAAAACATTTGGAATGACAAAAACCAGAGACATATGAGAGTGCTCTAAGTCAACTTACTCTAGTCAATACTCAATTACTCTCCTAAGCCGATGCCGGCTGGTGTTTTTTAAAAAAGTATTTATTATATGTTATTGAAATGTGTTTTTTAAACCTCAGTCCTGTGACACAGAAATAAAATATTTTAAACTAAACTAAATTAAACTAAACTAAACTAAAATGTTGATGTGGTTATTGTGTGCCAAAACTGTTATCACAAACTATACAGTGCGTCCAAAAATAGCAACAAACAAAAATATTGTAAATCACAAAACCAGTGATGATTACATCAATATCATTTAGTTTACCACATGAAACCATGTGTATCCCCTATCCAATGGTATGTCATGTTTTATATCTGATCATGGACCACTGAAAATCATTGTATTTTCGTTCATAGGTGAAAAGGCCTTTGTGCCAAGTTATGAAATATCAATCAAGTAATCCTAATCAGGTAAATCATCATGTAATTGGTCCTTGGGATTAAATTCATGTCATAAGATTTACATAACACATGTTTCTGATTTAGATTTACTAAAAAAAGAAAAAGGAAAATAAAATTTAACCTTATGTGTTCATCAGTATCCTTGTTGGTTCAGTTACCGAAACATATGGAAAAAGAAGTGCCATAAACAGTCGTTGTCTGTCATCTTATGAAAGATTACATCCCTGTCCTTTCACACGACCACTACTGTATTTCTCTACACAGAGAGACTTGCTTGTGTCTACATGTCGCAGCCACACCTCTTTGAATCATATGGAGTTCTGGCGGAGAGCAGCAACCTCATTGGTGACTAGTACTCTTTGTTAACTGTTGCAATGTCTAAAACTAGGTCCAGAGCAGATTTTGGCCCGTTGTGCAAAAGGAATGATTATTCAGTGGTCTGTGGTCGTATATGAATAATTAGCATGCCATTTCAAAGAGGGGATATGTGGCTTCCTGGAAAACTAAATGAAATTGATGTAATCATCACTGGTTTTGTGATTTTGCAATGTCTTTGTTTGTTGCGTTTTTTGGGACGCATTGTATTTCTCCTGAAAAAGGTAAACAATTTTGAATTTAGCAGCCCTCTTGAAAGCCCTTCTTGAGCAGAGCACATGGAATCAGCAAATAAAAGCTTAATAAAATCTGACAATACCGATATTTAAGTGTTATAAATGTTTTTGTTTTTTTACCAAAATAGCAACTTTTCAAGACAAAAATTTGGAGCAAATTCAATATTCTGGTATTCAAGTTATGAAAAATTACATTTTTTTGAAAAATCACGGGCGCTTGAAATTAGGTGACCATCGATTTCTTTTTGAACAGAAATCCTCATTCTCTAAGACATCGGTATATAAAGAATTTGGCGGCCATTATATTGGAAATTTGTTTTCATGCAGAGGTCTTATAAGGCATTAGCCTCTTAAATGTGAATCTGGTCTGTCGACCGATATTGAAATTATCACCTAGGCAGACGAACGGACAAAAGAAAAGACGGACGGACAGATGGACGACTTCTCTATATTCTCCTCGAACTTTCTTCGGGGAATAATAAATATGGCGTCTGACTGTATGCGAAGCAAACTTGTGAATAGGTATTGGGTGTATGGTAAGGATTACTACAAAGATGGTTTTATGCCTTACCCTCACTATCATCCCGCAGGATACTCCGATGAATGTAAAAATCTTGAAATACGAGATGATGACATATTCTTCACTGGCTTTCCGAGATCAGGTATGGGACATCGTTATTTTATATTTATTTATTCTCATTCCGATGACAAGAAATATCAATATCTTAAAAAATAACCAAAGGCCACAAGAACTAAAAATTGCTGCCAAATAATAATCAGTTCTCGAACTTCTCGAACATATGCAAAATTTTGAAGTAAGTGGAATTAATGGAGTCGCCATTGCCAGGCAAAGTAAATGTAAGGTAAGAAAGAGAGCTTTAAGATCTGCCTGTACTATTGGCGACGTTTGCAGGGACCCACATTGGTGTAGAGCTAATACAAAGTGTGCAGAATGTTGGCAACAAGGACTTCCTCAAGAAACACATCCACGACCGTGTGGAAATGGTTCACATATCTAAAGATGGTATGTAGTTATATTTTACGACATTAATATGACAAGCTGTCAACATTTGGTTACAATTAACGTGACAATATGTCACCATTTTTTGCAATTAACGTTACAAGATGTCATCATTTGATTACAATACAGTAGGACGGCACATTGAAAAAAACCATTGTTGTTTACCAAACTTTATATCAAAGTGGTGTAGCGATATATGACGTCATCGCACTACTTGTTTCTGGTCCGTTGGCTACCATCTTTATGAGGTCCATTGAAATGGTAAACATTTAAACATTTAAAAATGAAAGTGACGGATAGAATTCTACTGATCTCTTCTTTCGAACTATCTCATTTTAATGTTAGAAAAATGCACATGAATGGGAGTAAAATGCAATCAAACACGTGAGACTTTCACTCATTTTGTACCCTATATTCGTGCGAAATTAACATTGATTAAACATCATTTTTTTAAATGTCTGAATCGCTTAAAAGTTAAAGTAAATACTATATTTTATAAGTACCAAATATCAATCAGTTCAGATAAAATGCCTTCATTTGTTACATTTTCTGCGAAAACGGTTGGGCATAATTTCGGTAGAAATGTGTATTTTACGACGTTATATGCATAGTTGAATCCAAAAAGAAGCGTCATTCAGAAAATTATCATGTGTGCGTAAAAGCATGTGGATATTTCATTTTGAGTAACTGAATTTTCAAATTGACATATATATTGTCTTTGGAACATCACCTTTACACAGAATTATTTTCATAATGATTGCTCGTTTTGTTCCATGATAAAATGCAATTTTAGACCTGCAGCTGACTCATATCAAAAATTATTTAGCAATGAGTTCAGGCTCACTGATTTTTAAGATAGATGAAATGAACAAAAAAGGGAAAGGGTTATGTGTGCGGTAAAGCATGTGGATATTAAACTTTCAATAAATGAATTACAATTTTGATGTTTATATGATCTGAAGAACATCACCTTTGCACATAATTATTCTTATAATAATTGTTCGATTTCTTTCATGATCAACTGCAATTTTAGACCCGACAAGTATTAAAGAAGAATCGGACAATGTATTAAGGCTCACTGATTTTTAGGATAAATAAAATGAGCAAAGGGAGAAAAGGTCACGTGTGCGTAAAAGCGTGTCAGTATATGGATTTGAAGAAACGAATTAAAGTTTTGACATTAATATTATTTGTGAAGCATCACCTTAACATAGAATTATTTTTATAATTTTTGCTTGGTTCCTTCCATGAGAAAATGCAATTATAGACCTGGCACGCGTATCAAAGAAGTATTTGGCAATTACGTCCAGTCTCTTTGGTTTTCAAGGTAAATGAAATAAGCAAAACTAGAAAAGGTCATGTGTGCGTAAATGCGTGTCACTATTTAATTTTGAAGAAATGAATTAATTTTTTGACATTAATATCATTTGTGAAGCATCACCTCTACGCAGAATTATTTTTATAATTTTTGCTTGGTTCCTTCCATGAGAAAATGCAATTATATACTTGGTACACGTATCAAGGTTGTATATAGCAATTGCGTTCGGTCTCCTTGGTTTTCAAGGCAAATGAAATGAGCAAAACTGGAAATGGTCAGTGTGCTTAAAAGCGTGTGAGTATTTAATTTTTTATAATTTTTTTGACATTTTTGACATTTATTATATCTATGGGGAATCATCTTTACACAGAATTATTTTTTGATTCAAATTTAGTTCCTTCTATTAGAAAGGCATGGCTAAGATTGGTTCATATGTATAACTGTAATGAGATTTTTATGTTTGAATCGCACAAAAAGAGATAATGTCAAATGTGCGTGAATGCATGTCAATATCTTATTTTAAAAACTGAATTATGATTTTGACATTTTCATAAGCTTTAAACCATTGCCTTTCCACATATTTATTTTCTTAACATGAGAACTTTAAACACGTTCTAAATAAGAAAGGTCAATGTGAGTTGAATTAAAATTAAGGAAAATATCAATTATCTGCGCATTTTCGTTATATTACGTCATACGGGATTTCGTGCTTTAAGTGGGCTGAAGGTGAAGAATGGCACGGGTACGAAAACGTTTGTTACCAATTCATCTTTCAAAACACATTTTTATTTTTTACATATCTATGATCTATGATAAATAACCTATGTAAAGAATTATTTTCAAATTAATTGCTAGGTTAATTCAATAAGCAATTCTGAGGTATATTTGAACTTTAATTCCATAGCAGATGTAATTCGGACGAAAGTTTTAAAATTCAAGAAGAGATTAAATCAATCAAAATAAAACTTATGATTCAACCGAGTCGACAATACTTGGTTCAGTTCTTTCATTTTCAATCGTACCATGGTCATAGATTAACATAAGTGACCGTTCGAAAACATACCATTTTTGTAGAAAATGAAAGAAAATCGCGTTATAACATGTATCGAGTAATTGCCAAGTTTACGTCTTAAGTTTGATGTGGTAAACAGCATTCTTCATTAAGTCACACACATAAGTTAAGGGAAGCAAAAGATCATTTTAAAAATGAAACATATCAATAGATATTTTTAACATTGAAATACTTTTAGAAAGTAAGCTTATACTAGTAGATTTGCTAGACAGCTGTTTGGAATTCATCAACTTTTCTCCACAGGATCATTTCGTAGTACAAATGCAGGTCATTCAAAGGAAATATAGGTTTCAACATCCCCGTCTATGAATATTGATCTTTTTCAGACAGCAAAGGTAAGTTTAAAACAGAAATACTTCTTACGAATCCAAATTACATTTTAAACTTAGAATTGTGATCTACGATTTTATGGGTATGTCACAAATTTGATTAGATACATTCACTCAGCACGCCGTTAAACATATAATTAACTTTACAAGCGTAACCATAGGTAACTTCGATTTTAGTATGTTCAAGTTCAAGTTCTGTAGTCTCGAAAGTCAAACGATTATCATAGTTTATTTGGCCTGCTTTTAGAATTGGGAAAACAAAGGCAAGGTTTATGTTTTATGAACATTCTGATTTGATAGCAAACTTTATTTTTGAGTGTATTAAATCAAATAAAGCTTATTGCGTCGGGACCTGTACGTTCGCCCAATTAAAGGCAAATGTGCCGTCAATTAAAGAAACAAGCACAGTGGTACACCGTTTTTGGAAAACATAACACTGATAATAGAAATTCATCAATTGTTATGAAATTTGCACCATCATTAAAAGGAATCTCGAATTTCATGATGACAAAATATCGGATAAATATGACAAGAAATAAAAATTTGTTACATTTTTTCCCAAAAAGTTGTAAAATAAAAATAAACTAAAAAAATAATATTTTCACGACAAAAAATAAATAGTTCAACTGTTTTGATTCTACATGACGTTTTCAAAGAGTAGAGAGCTAGAATCAAAGCACCGTTCCTGCAAGTTTCAAATGAAAATATTAAAAACTGTGCGAGTAAGAGGACCGCAACTTTTTATGTCTACACTGACAAAAACTTGAAATTCCCGTTCTAAAGATATAGTCCCACGCGGAAGTGCACGTCATAAAGCTGATGGGTTAAGGCAATGTGCCGTCCAACTGATATACGTGACAAGACGTCACCATTTGGTTGCAATTAACGTGAGAAGCTGTCAACATTTGGTTGCAATTAACGTGACAAGATGTCGCCATTTGGTCGCAATTACGTGACAAGATGTCATCATTTGGTTGTCATCGTTTCAATTGGTTGCAATTTACGTTACCAGGTGTCACAATTTGGTTGAAATTGACAAGGCAAGTTGTCACCGTTTGGTTGCAATTAACGTGACAATTTGTCACAGTTTGGTTGCATTTGACGTGGCAAGATGTCAACGTTCGATTGCAATGAACGTGACAAGTTGTCACCATTTGGTTGCAATCGACATGGCAAGATGTCACCATTTGGTTGCAATTGACTAAGCAAGATGTCACCATTCGGTGTCAATTAACGTGACAAATTGACATCGTTTGGTTGCAATTGACGTGGCAAGATGCCACCGTATGGTTGCAATGACGTGGAAACTGTTCGGTAGCAATTGACGCGACAAGTTGTCACTGTTTGGTCGCAATTGATTTGGCAAGATGTCAACGTTTGGTTGCAATTAAAGTGCCAAGCTGTCACTATTTGGTTGCAATTGACGCGACAAATTGTCACCGTTTGGTTGCAATTGATTTGGCAAGATGTCAGCGTTCGATTGCAATTAACATGACAAGTTGTCACCGTTTGGTTGCAATTGACTAAGCAAGATGTCACCATTCGGTGTCAATTAACGTGACAAATTGACAACGTTTGGTTGCAATTGACGTGGCAAGATGCCACCGTATGGTTGCAATGACGTGGAAACTGTTCGGTAGCAATTGACGCGACAAGTTGTCAACGTTTGGTTGGAATTGATTTGGCAAGATGTCAACGTTTGGTTGCAATTAAAGTGCCAAAATGTCACTATTTGGTTGTAATTGACGCGACAAGTTGTCACCGTTTGGTTGCAATTGATTTGGCAAGATGTCAACGTTTGGTTTCAATTAAAGTGACAAAATGTCACCATTTAGTTGCAATTGACGTTGCAAGATGTCACCGTTTAGTTGCAATTGTTGTGGCAAGATGTCATCGTTCGGTTGCAATTAAAGTGACACGATGTCAGTTTTTAGTTGCAATTGTTGTGGCAATATGTCATCGTCCGATTGCAATTAAATAGACAAGATGTCACCATTTGGTTGCAATTGACATGGAAAGTTGTTACTGTTTGTTTCCAATTAACGTGATAAGTTGTCACCGTTTGGTTGAAATCAACGTGACAAGTTGTCAACATTTAGTTGCAATCAACGTGGCAAGATGTCACCGTTTGCTTGCAATTAACATGACAAGATGTCACAGTTTGGTTGCAATTGGCGTGGCAAGATGTCATCGTTTGGTTGCAATGAATGTGACAAGATGTCACAGTTTGTTACAATTAACATGACAAGATGTCACAATTTAATTGCAATTAACTTGACAAGATGTTATCATACAGTTGCAATTAACGTCACAATAATCGCTTGCTTATATTCACGTTCGCTTATTTTAGCATAGTCATGAGATAAAAATGATTTTTTAGTTATGACAGGAAAGGTTTCCCTTTTGGAATATGGTGAAAATCCACTTCCAAGATTATCTGCTCAGCCTTCACCTCGATTTCTATTCGGTCCACACCTACCCTATGAATTTTGCCCATTGGGTATACAGCAAGGAAATTGCAAGGTACATGTACAATTTGTTCAATAATAATTTAGGATAAATGTGTATGTTCACAATACTTTGTGTAACTTTCACTGGGGATGAACTGGAAACGAGGGAGGTTTTGCCTCATATCAAAATGGCCGCGAATGAAAAAGGAGCATTTGACAAGAATTTTCTTTTCACGATTTTCTTGCCTTTATCTTTCAAATTATATGCAACTAAATATTTGACAGGTATAAAATAGTTCGGAAGTTCCGGTTTTAAATACGATTACAACTTGGAAATCAAATCCAGTCATAGCTGAGATAACTACAAATCAATTCTCGCTTGGGAAACAAGGCAAATTTTTCAATTAGAGGAAATGTTGCTTGCGAAAAACTTTCCTCGTTTCCCGAGCGAGGGAATCGATTTTGAAATATCAAAGCAATGACTGCATTAATTTCTAAGGTGTAATTATCTGAAACCGTAACTCACAAACCAATTACTTGATTTAGGGTTGAACGTGATACTTGGCAAATCAATTAGTTTTGGATAAGCTTTAAAATGATATATGACACATACAATGAAGACACTGGTAAATGTCTGCCTAGGCGGGGGGGGCATACTTTCGGGACACCCTGTATTGTTTTCAATGAAAGCTTATATTGCATCATTAATGAAGAATGAATTAGGATCTACACACATTGTGTCTAAAAGGGTTCCAAGCATAAAGCGAAGAATAAATAAATTGCCCCCTAAAATAGGGAAGAATAAATTCAAGATACCCACAATCAACCCCAATAGTTGTAATAAAAAATCTTATATTCAGGTGATTGTCGGATTTAGAAACCCCAAGTCTGTATATACAAGTTGCTTCCACGCAATTGATGGCATATCGGACACAGGGATATTTTCTGAAAGGATTTCTAAAGAAGACTTCATGGCAGCCATTCTTACAGGGGACAGCAGAAATAGTAATGATTTGAAAGTTAAATAAAAAAGGATGCAAAATGCGCAAATGAAATGAAGGAAAGAGCATGTAGATTTAATTTTTTAAATATTTGAAAAATAAAATATGGCCGAGTAAAAAGTATAAATTGTCAAATCTTTGAGTAAGCCTTTTGATTAAAACAGAATTTGAAAAAAAACACAAATATATACAGCTGTTTAGGATATGTTTGATTAATTTTTTCATCTTTTCTAGTGCCCTGTTGCGGGTCGTGGTTTGACTTTCACAAGCAATGGTGGGAAAACAAAAATGAAAACATATATTTTCTCAACTATGAGAATCTAATACAGGTCTGCAGATATATTTTTTATTAATATTAACAAACGCAGGTTATTATTTTTTTGAAAATGAATCTGGGTTGAAATGAAGCTTGCTCTAGCTTTACTATCTCAAAAGCAATCGTATTTCTTCCTACAGTATGTGCTATGTACAGAATATGTACGTATACTTAAAGTATGGTTTGCTTTCAACTCTTTTCTTTACATAGGATTGTCACAAAGTAGTGAAAGAAGTGGCCAACTTTCTCGGAAAAGCATTGACTGAGGAACAAGTTTCGGATATTACTGACCATGTTAAATTTGACAAGATCAAAGAGAACCCAGCTTTTGGAAAAGCATTTGAAAATTTAAAAGATGTAAAGACTGCACATATGAGAAAGGGTAAGTGGCAAAGTAGAGATTCAGGATCCCGTGTTGCGTATCAAAGGAATTTTACAAAAATCAGTCGTTTTGAGAATCCTAGAGTTTAGATTGCCTATGTTTCTAAACACTGGCTTAATTATTGAATACGAATTTTACTTTCCCATGGAATCCAATGTAAAAATAACGTTAACGTAATCTACGGCCAATGTGGAAATACTCATAGAGTTATTGATTTCTAATTTTCTATGAACATAATTAGTCTTATGAAATAATATTAACACCAGAGCTAAAGGAATAAAATATATATCACCAGAGAAATTATATTCAAGCAGATTTTGAAATTCAGTGTTGAGAATCCATGAAGTTACATTTAAAGGGGTACATGTACATGCACTTGTTATTTTTAGGCAAGATAGACGATTGGAAGAATTTCTTTACAGTGGCCCAGAGTGAACAATTTGATGAATTGTACGCTCAGAAAATGAAAGACACGGACTTCCCCCAGCCGATTTATGAATAGTGTTCAAAGTATGGGACTATGGCAGTAATCTACAATCAATATGAACTACGTAACAGAACTACCTCTTTCGACCTGTCTATGAATAATCAGCAACCAGAAAATGAGAGATAGAATGGGGTTCACCTTCACCATAAAACGTGTAAACAATTTATTTATAAATAGTGTGCTAAGTTCGATACAATGACAGTTATCCACAACACTAATATGAACTGCTTCCTTCAATCTCTCCTCGATATTTCTGTAAATGATGTGCAGAATATGACTGTGTGATTCTAATCCTTCAACCTGTCTTTGAATCAACAGAAAACTCAGAATTCAAAAATATGTCTTTCCCTTTTCATAAAATAGATTCTCAAATGGAAAAGTATTGTCTACCTTTGGTTAATGAGCCTAACTGTAAAACGTTTCAACAGCATTATCAACATTAGAAAGATCTGTTCTGTTCAATTGTACTTCACCAGTCACTAAGCTGATAATAAAAAGGTTTACATAAAATAAGTGATGGACAATTCCTTACCACTGTACAAGTTTCAACATTGTTACAATAAGGCATTAACATGACAAAATGTGACCACATAGTGGAAGTTTTTGCAAATTGTTACCAACGAAAAACAACCACAGAACACCATTCACAAAAAGTTGGTAAGCATAACAATATGTCATCACTTCTAGTGGTGACATAGAATATTGAAAGTGCATCAGGTACCTAATCTACAGTTGCCATAGGAACCAAATATCAAACACAATAGTCATAAAGTTCGATCCTTCAAATATTTCTTGGTAGCCAATTTTCTTTATTTCAGGTTGACTCAAAATATATTTTTAAGATATAGGGTGACAAGTAAAATTTACTGACCGTCTAATTAATAAAAGTTTCTTTAACTTTCTAAACAAACATTGTTGCATCAATATAGTGTATGGGTAATAGGTCCTGATAGACATGCCTTCCCCGACTGATTATTGCGTTATCAGGCACCTGTAGCCGGGGGGATCCCTCCCAGTAACTAGAAATTATTTCAAAATTTTGCAGTTTTTTACCATTCTGAGCACTTTCCGCATGATTTTTTTGCCAAAAACGGTCAAAAAGCTCCCCCTTGGCAAAAGCTTCCCCTTGGTAAAACTGATCCCCCCAGGTAAATCCTTATTGTAACAGTGAGAGTCAACTCGTTTCTATAAAACAGAAACATAACATACAAGATGTTAATCTGTCAAAATCAACTCTCAATTGAGAATCCAAATCCAAATGATCAAACTATGATTTCAAATTCAAATACGTCTTTATTTACGTTCATATTCAAATGAGTGAGGTACATATAAAGTACAATGTTTCATATTACACGAATAACATATTGAATTTATATGACTGTATGAAAGACAAACGGCCTAACTAATAACTGTGCACTAATAACATTACTGTAATTATAAAGTGAAGATTCACATTTTCATAGTATAATGATTTTAATGATGAAACGGTGCTTTAAAATAAGAGTTATATATGATGAAACTAAAAGAGTAATAAATATGAGGTATTGTCAGTGTTTGATGTCTTATAAATACACTTGATTTAAAATTACAAAATAAACGCATGCGAAAACATATAAACGTTTAAAATTACTTTCTAGAGCACTGATTGCATGTAACAACAGACTCTAGTATTAATCCCAATAGTCAAACTGAACTAACAATAGATTCTACAATAATAATATAACAATAGATCCTATAATAACAATACATTTGCATATATGGACTTAATAATCTAAAATGTAAAAGCTGGGCCAAGGCAGGATTTTCTGACAACATAGTCTAAAACCCAGGGTCTAATAAGAGGCTAAATAATGGAACTATAATATTGCAAATATATGCCTTACTATCAAAATTCAAGTTGCACCTCAATAAGTTGATAAAAAACGATTATGAGGACTTCAAAGACTTAAAAAGTGAAAGATAATAAACATTACAAAAATATAAAAATAGGAATATTGCATTCCATACTTCATAATTTCCATAATTTAGTACTTCAGTGATAGCTGGATAGATAAAGAAATGTCTATCCTGACCCCTAGATATATTCTACATTCCTCCACAATTATGTAGAAAGAAACAGAAGGTTTTGGATACAAAATGTAATAGTTGGGATCTTTTCTCTGTGTACTGTAGTCTCCATGTTTCAGAAAAAAAATATTATACTAAAATGTTTTTTCCTCACAGCTTGGTATTTGAATTTGCCATATAATCAACATCCCCATTGCTTAAGTTCATAACAGGGTGGTCATTCCCATCGGAAAGTGCACTTTTAACATCAAGTATTAACTCATCACTGTTTGTTTTACTGTCATCATTGCCGTTTCCAAGTTCATTTTCAAACATTTTGGCAGTGGCTTCACCTGCAATCAACTGTCGTAGAACAAGCTTTTTGTAAATGCCACCTTTCTGAAGTAGGTCACCATGGGTTCCTTGTTCGGCTATTTTGCCCTGGTCTATCACAATAACCTGGAATTGCAAGAAAGAAATTGAGATTTCTTGAAAAGCTACATACTTGTACAGTACAACCTGTTCAATGGAACATCTTTCTGTAATAAACACCTGTCTACAAGAAACAGTTTTTAAAAGAACCAAATATTTTTCCATTGACCTCCATGTTAACAGACCCTCTCTATATAGAACACTTGTTTGGTGGGAACAAGGAACAGTGTTTTAAGGCAAACTTTGAATTACGAGAAAAATTAATTAGTTCCCTAAAACATCATGGTATTTCATTGATAGGAACATGAAATATATGTTTCCATAAAATAGTGAGCCACTTTTTAAACTAGATAAGATGAATTCTAATGGTTGACAGGTCCAGTGAGACCTGAGCACATAAGTAGGACACACTGCGCACAGTAGACAGTCTATGAGCTATTATGACAACAATTCTATTCATCATGGCACAGTCTACAGGCTGAGTCACATATATGATCTTACCTGAGACGCACTGCGTACAGTAGACAGTCTATGAGCTATTATGACAACAGTTCTATTCATCATGGCACGGTCTACTGGCTGAGTCACATATATGATCTTACCTGAGGCCCATTGCACACAGTAGACAGTCTATGAGCTATTTTGACAACAGTTCTATTCATCATGGCACGGTCTACTGGCTGAGTCACATATATGATCTTACCTGAGACGCACTGCGTACAGTAGATAGTCTATGAGCTATTATGACAACAGTTCTGTTCATCATGGCATGGTCTACCGGCTGAGTCACATATATGATCTTACCTGAGACGCACTGCGTACAGTAGACAGTCTATGAGCTATAATGACAACAGTTCTATTCATCATGGCACGGCCTACTGGCTGAGTCACATATATGATCTTACCTGAAACGCACTGTGTACAGTAGACAGTCTATGAGCTATTATGACAACAGTTCTATTCATCATGGCACGGTCTACTGGCTGAGTCACATATATGATCTTACCTGAGATGCGCTGCGAACAGTAGACAGTCTATGAGCTATTATGACAGTTCTATTCATCATGGCACGGTCTACTGGCTGAATCACATATATGATCTTACCTGAGATGCACTGCGAACAGTAGAAAGTCTATGAGCTATTATGACAACAGTTCTATTCATCATGGCACGGTCTATTGCTTCCTGTACTAAATGTTCACTTTCTGCATCGAGAGCACTTGTTGCCTGTAAAAGATATAAAGCAGCTGAAAGTAGTCTTCTCAATATACAGTGAAACCTTTTAAGTGTAACTCGTCTAGCAGTGGAACACTTTTCAGAGTCCCAAGTCCATCTGACTTAATGTTAAACTAATCTCTATAAGAGGAACTCCGAGTGGAACCTCCAAGTGGAACACTTTTTAGAGGTACCAAAAGTGTTCCACTTAAACAGGTTTTACTGTATAGTACATAAGAATAACAGACAATGTACTTGTTTATCTCTTCAATTAAATGCATGCATATTCATTTATTGTGATAATGGCCATTAATAGAAAAATATTTGTCAAAGCATTTAAAGATGGCAGCACTTGAATACTACTCTATTTAAGAGTGCTCTTACTCTAGTCAATACTCGATTACAATTAGATATACATTTAATGGTGTCTCCTAAGCCGATGCCGGCTGGTGGTTTTTTTAAAAAAAAGTATTTATTATATGATATTGAATGTAGTTTTTAAACCTGTGACACAGTAATAAAATATTTTAAACTTAAACTATTAAAGTTATAATAACAAGTGATGTGAATTCTGCACCCTATTGGACAACACTGATCTAATTCCTCTTACCTCATCTAATAACAAAACAGCCGGGTCCATGATTAAAGACCTTGCTATGGCAACTCTTTGTTTCTGACCCCCAGACAGTCTCACCCCCCTCTCCCCCACCAATGTGTCATAACCCTCCTCAAATGTCATGATGAAGTCATGAGCGTTTGATTGTTTAGCAGCTTCAATAACCTGCAAGTAAATACAACAAATAAACAAAAAATAAATAAATAAAGCTGAAAACTGAATTCAAACCATTAAAATGCAGATCATTTATAATATATGTGATTATTATTTCCATGCCATCATACTCGTTCTCTCATTGGTCAATTAGATACCATGTGACTAAAAATATATAGAGATATCCCATGTCTCCCTGTTTAGAAAAACGTGTGAAAGGTGTATTCACTGGCAGTGACATCATTTTTAGTGAATACCACTATATATTCAATTAAAATGCCATCACATCACTTACTTCCTGGGAATTTAGTAAAAAGTATTTTCATCCGATATGATAGATGGTAAAGTTTTATCAGGAAGTCTTCCCAAGAAAAAGGTTCACAACTGTATATCAAACACGGGATAAAGATTTTACAAATGTAAAAAAAGACAACTAATCAAAGCACGAAGACTTTGGACTTTAACATAGAAGTTCCGAATCTAATTTTTATCCATGGTGTGACTGAGATCATGAATTATAACAGAATATTGGCAAACGTTTGGAAATACATTGAAACTAAGCGTCACACAGAATTCAATATTTGTATCATATTACTTAGAACACTATAGTTGTAATGTTAATATTCAATCATTTCTCCACAGTAAAAGTATAAATCATTTATTCTTGTCCTTGAAAAAATTAGCATATTCAAATAATTAAGAATTAGAGATACATTCTAGAGTGATAAAATTGCAAGTAACAATTTTAATTTTCTTTTACTTTTCAAACACCTCAAAAAGATCCATGAAAAGTTGTCAAAATAAAGGAGTTATTGCAGATTTACATACTTTTCCAACAACAAACCTATAATGGCATGCCATCAGTTTTCAATAGCAGCTAGGCCAAACTTCTGGATATTAACCTTTATTACATGTAATAATATGATGACAAAAATGTTGACATTTTCATTTTTTGAGAATGTATGAACTTCTGGAATTGGAGAAAATATTGTTATTTCAAATGATATTTTAAAATACTGGGCTGATGTGTTTTAACACAATTTCTTAAATGCTCTCACTTTTTCACATTTCAGCACACCACTTCTTCATATTTTATAAGATTCTTCAAATATATCCAATTCTTCACATTTCCAAAACAAATTTCACATTTCCATGCCTTTTTCTTCACTCATTTTTAAGTTTTTTTTTACCTTTTTGCATTTACTTTGATTCAACTTACTTCCTCTAAAGTAGCCTCTTTGCCATATGCAATGTTGTCTTTGATAGAGCAAGCAAATAGAACAGGTTCTTGTTGAACCATTGAGATTCGCTTCCTAAACCACACAGGGTCTAAGGTCTTCAAGTCCATGCCACCTGGAAAAATACCAGGTACATGTTGAGTATCATTGGACAAGTTGAATTAAGTGGGTACATGCAAATTATTACAGCACATGTTGAGTCACCATGACTATCTCAGCACATGTTGGATCACCAAGACTATCTCAGCACATGTTGAGTCACCATGACTATCTCAGCACATGTTGACTCACCATATCTCAGCGCATGTTGACTCACCATATCTCAGCACATATGTTGAGTCACCATGACTATCTCAGCACAAATTGAGTCACCAAGACTATCTCAGCACATGTTGAGTCACCAAGACTATCTCAGCACATGTTGACTCACCATATCTCAGCGCATGTTGACTCACCATATCTCAGCACATATGTTGAGTCACCATGACTATCTCAGCACAAATTGAGTCACCAAGACTATCTCAGCACATGTTGAGTCACCAAGATTATCTCAGCACATGTTGACTCACCATATCTCAGCACATGTTGACTCACCATATCTCAGCACATATGTTGAGTCACCATGACTATCTCAGCACAAATTGAGTCACCAAGACTATCTCAGCACATGTTGGATCACCAAGACTATCTCAGCACATGTTGACTCACCATATCTCAGCACATATGTTGAGTCACCATGACTATCTCAGCACATGTTGGATCACCAAGACTATCTCAGCACATGTTGACTCACCATATCTCAGCACATATGTTGAGTCACCATGACTATCTCAGCACATATTGAGTCACCATGACTATCTCAGCACATGTTGAGTCACCAAGACTATCTCAGCACATGTTGAGTCACCATGACTATCTCAGCACATGTTGACTCACCATATCTCAGCACATATGTTGGGTCACCATGACTACCTCAGCACATGTTGAGTGACCAAGACTATCTAAGCACATGTTGAGGTAACAGGATACATGTTAAGTATCATATCATATTGTCAATATGAATAAGATAATGGGGCACATGTTGCATATCATTTAAAATGTTGATTCATAACAGAGTACAGCTTGAATATGTTTGGGATATTTGGGGTTTTCCTTATTTTAGGTTTCATTTATTTGACCTTTAAGACATTTTGTTAATATTTTCGACACAAGAAACAAGAAAATAATTCTGTGCCGTGGAATAAAACACTGACAATAGCACTTCCTTTTAATTAACATATATTTATTACCAATATATTTTCAAGTCTTTTTAACCAATTTTAAATAATGGTGGTCAAAATGACTATGACTTTTACTCAAAATGTTTTTTGCTAAATTGTTCATAAGATTTCCTGTGCCACTGATACATCCATCATCTCAGGACAACAATGTTGTACTTTAAGTGCACTTTAAATCTTACCTAATTGGATGCTTCCACTATTTGGGTCATAGAATCGTTCAATCAGGTTAACGATGGTGGACTTTCCTCCACCAGAGGGCCCCACTAGAGCAACCATCTTCCCCTTGGATACATTAAATGACACACCCTGAATTTAAAAATGAATGGTTTTTAATATCACAGTACTTTTCAATTTATTCATATATATGAAATATATGAAATAGTACACAATGAAATGGGTGACAAAGATTTGTGTATATTCCCACAGATGGAGTGAGTAAAATACAAGTATGTTACATTATGCAGTTTTGGGGATCTGCCGTTGCATGTCCTCAACAAAAAGAAATACAATCATCAATAGGTTTTTTTTTCATGAAAATGATATTATTGATGGATTTAGAATTTGTTAGTTAGAGTCTAGTCTAAGAAACATTTTCATTTGTTCATTTTGATTTGGGTTGGGAGTTTATTTGCAACACATTTTGAGGTTTATTAACAATGATAATCATTAGCATATTTATTAAAATGGGACTGAAAAAAGTGTTCACATTGAGAGGTGTTCAGATATACAGGTTTTATACTAGGCCTATTCATGCATTACATTACAAAAATTAATGAGACCTTATTCTGCATATAATGTATAAACAGGAAAATTGCTGTTCAGTTGGTCATAAGATCAGAAAATTCTGGCAAAAGAATGAAGCTCGCTTACCTTTAACACTTCTGTCTCTGGCCTAGATGGGTAGGTGAATCTGACATCATTGAATTGAAGATCTAAAAATGAATAGTTGAGAACCTACAGACATAACTAAGTTTTGGCATAAACTTGAAAGACAATGTAAAAGTTGACAACTACAAAAATTATCGGTTCATTAGTGTAAAAAACTACACAGTATTACTTTTGTACCTTTTAAAAATATTTCATGTCTTGTCACTGACTTCACTTTATTTTAGAGCGCATTTTCTCTATTTCAACATACTGTTAAATAATGTCTTTAGTCGACAAAGATCCACGTATTAAAGACCATGATACAATTACTCTTTTATTGTGACATCATTTATAATATTACAAAATACTTTATTATATACAGTAGTCACTCTACCTCCCTGCAGGCAGTCATACATGCTTCCTCCCTCTGTTGGAATATCAGGGAGTCTGTCCAGTAATTGGAATATCCTTACAGAGGCCCCAACTGCTTGCATGAAATCCCCATACAAAGCTGACATGAGACCAAACCCTATAGCAACTTGTAGTGTATAAAGCAGGAATGCTGTAAAATAAGTACTTCTTATTAATAATCTGGCACACAACATTAGGCAAAGGTCCAATAAGTTTAGAAGGAAATGACCTAATGGCCAGGCTTTTTAATCTTAAATAGCATCTTACTGTAAAATGTCAAATTGAAAGAAAAAACCCTTTAATTCTATAAAAGGCAAGCAAGAGAATTTGAGGTTGCTAAATTAGTGAAACAAATGATTAATTATTAGGTCCTACCTTGCTTTTTGTGACTTATCCATAAGTGCTTCACAAAAGTGTTATGAATGAAAACACCTTCATGTATAATTGATAACATATACCAAAATATGAATATGAAAATATAAATAAGTAAACCCTAATTTTGAACTGAGGACTGGGTCAAATGAGACTTACCAGTGAGAATACCAGCAGTGAGTTCCTTTTCAAAAACTAGTTTTCCACCATACCACAGTACTAGACAAATAGCTCCAGAAGACAGGCACCCTATTACACCCTCAAATACACCTACAATTAATAAAAATTCAAACTTTATTCAGTTACAGGGGCCTATAGCTTTAAAATTAGTGAGACAAAATTAAAACGAAGAAAGTATATTACTGTCTGCTCACCCTATGTTTTTCTTAAAGAGTTTGCAATTACATCCACAAAGATTTAGCCATAGCTCAACAGGACATTATTTTCTAATATAATGACCTAAAACTGTTTTTAAAGAACACACAATTTAAAATACAAAAGATATGCTATTATACCACATGTTTTTTCTAACCTGTGGCCAAAGCAAGTTTCTTTCCAACTTGATAACTTTTATCAACATCCACATCATAATGATCCACAACTTTAGTCTCTCCTGCAAACGTCCTAACAGTCCTGAGACTAGAGATTGCCTCCTCTGCAGTCGTACTTGCATCTGCTAAGCGGTCTTGAAACTGTTGTCGCATTTTCTTAAGAAACTTTCCTATATGTAAATAATTTGTTATTTATGACATAGTTCGTTGTCAAAAGAAACAAGATTGAAATTGCAACACTCTTGAAAATGTTAGCATATGCTGTACTAAAAAACGTGACATAAAAGTACTAAAAACTATGCATATATAGTTTTCTCTAATGATAAAAATAGGAAAGTTACCATATTGCACGGCACCAAGAGACACCACTGGCACAACAGACAGTAGGACACCTGTCAGCTTAGCATTCAGGATAAACATGAAGACAAGGGAGCCAATGATCTGCAGAATGTACCTCACTAACATTGACATATTCACCTGAAACACATTAAAACATATGTCATCTATTAATAGAGTGCAAGGGTAACTTTTATTGAACAATTAAAGTTACTTCATAATGTTCATTAAGTTGACAAAGTCCCACTAATATAGCAAGTGTATGGCCCATTTGCTGGCCATTTAAATAATGTGCTCTAAATGGGTAATTAATTAATCTAATGGGTCATATTACTACACAGTTTCAGTAGCCAGGCATGGAACAAGTGAGGCAATATTATTTTTTCAGAGGTTTCTTTAACTAAAAGTGTGAAAATGAAGTCCAAACTTGTCTCATCAAGAAGTTTTTGCGTTACCTTATTTTGATCCTAGCAACATCCTTGTAATTTTACAAACTGATGGGTTACTATGTATATGCATACGATTAAAAATTGAAAATACAATTATCCAGAATAATAGTCACTCTGAGAAAGTATATCTTCGATCATAGGACCATTGGCTAAGGTTGATGGAAATATTTTTTAATAAAGATGGCATGGTAATCGATCTGTTTATTTATAATATTGGATTCTGGTGCTGCCATCTTTATATTGGCCAAAAACCTATGCATATGACACACACAAAAATGACACATTTCTGCACCATCTGACACAAAACAGTTTTCAAATGTAACTACCGTTGTAACAAGTGTAGTGTTACAGATACACCTATTTCTCAGACAAATGGAATGCAACAGGTTTGGGAATATCTGCTAGTGTTAAAATCTAATTGATCAAAAAATGATTTATGGTGTACTCGGTCATCATTTAGATACAGAACTCAATAATAGCACATTGAAAAGGAGCGATTAAGAGGGCAATGTTTATTTGATGATTTATTTGATCCATGGTACACCCACTGACTAATAGCTTTTTTTTCTCAAACAGATTTTTGCCTGCAAGGAGAGTAGCACAACACATTTTTGACTTACACATTACATCTTTTCCCCCAAACCCCTTCAGAAATCATTCAAAAATACAAAAATTGCAAGATATATACCCAAATATTGACCACATAGCTAATACCATGTATGTTGTCTACAAAATAACTGATAACTTAAGAATTGAAATAAACAAGCAGCTATCCTTATCATAGGATGGTCTTGTTTATATATAGATGGTGCCTATGATGATTCAACTTCATAGGACATGTGCCAAATTGATGATTATAGCTAAGATTCATGACTTTGGTGTTAAATTAAGATAAGGTTTCCAAAATCCCACAACTTTCTAAAACATTTAACTTTTCTAAAACATTGAAATCATTATTTAGTTACATTTGTAACATTAAGAAGTAAGATACTTGTTGGATGGGTGTTAGTTTTAGCTTTGAAAGCCTGCAGATGAGTACCATAAATCTTTTCCTTCCCTTTTGGCATTTTACTGAATTCAATTTCTAATTTGTAAAATGAGATTCTTTAGTATAAGCCACATGTAAATTATTATGATATATGGTTTTACTATTTCATCTAGAAAGATGCTGTAACTATTTTTGAAGTTTATATCACATCTAACAAGAGAGATAAACACTTCTCAATGCAAAATGTCACAACCTGCCATTTGTTACAGATGCTGACTGCCAAACACCAACTGCCAAACTCCAAACACCATCCACAAAAAAGTTGGAGACCATAACAATATGCCACCACTTATGGTGGTGACATAATAAAAAAAATTATGTTTCCTTGGTGACTTATACATGATTATAATTTAGCAGGCTTGTTTTTATACATCATACATGTGTGGTCAAACAACAGTAAACATTAGAATGTGCTATCAACATTTCTGCTCTGTTGATTTGAGAAACTTTAGTCCAGTCCAAAGGTTTGGATGTAAATCATCTAAATTTAACATTCAAACAAGAGCATGGTATTAAGCAAATAGAAACTAGATAAATAATCTAAGAGACATGAATAAAGCATCCAGTAAGATACCCTTCTCAAGATCTAGTCTTGTCTGCACTCTTAAGATGAGTGATTTGTAAGACACACAGTCGCAAAACATTATGATAATCATACATTTTGTTAATCTCAGACAGCTTACCATGTTTAAGATATATTAGATCAGCTCAGACGAATGTACAGATAGATGAAGGCTTGTACTATATCCCACGAAATTAATTTGATAATTATAGTTAGAGGGGAAATTGAGATTCAGAATATCCCTTATACAACACCAGCTATCTTTACTGATTGTGATATAAAGGTATTACTAATGATAAAGAGAAAGTATTGGTCGCTAGGAAATCATTTGTTGTTCAAGGCTGACCCAAACACAGTGGATAATAAAGAATTATAGCTAAAGACAAAGCTGCAAATATTACCAACTGCTGTGAAAAGCAGAAGGAAAACACCAGACATGAAGTTACCAATAGTGCTACTGCTGTGCTGTTTCATATTTGTAGCATCAACAAATGCGTTGGAATATACCATATTAGGAGTAGCAAATTTATTTACTTCACTTCCATCTCCACTTTTCATTGGAGAATCTCTTAAAAATGAAACCATATTGAGTCAAATGACACCAAAATGCCGGCAAGATGTTGATATTTATAATGGGATCTTAGCAAGTGGAACTGCTGGTTTCTTTGTACCCATTTTAACAAGTAAGATTCAATATTTCATCTACATTCCTGTTAATATGCTCAGTATTTACATGTATGATGAAACATACTAGAACGATCGAACCTGCTTAGTGGAACACCTCTGTAAGTGGAACACCTCCAAGTGGAACACTTTTTGTGGTCCCAAGGGTGTTTGATTTACACACATTCTTCTGCAGTTTGTTCTTGAACAATAATTATATTTCAATGAAAAACATTATATGCTATTTTTTGAGTAATTCAAAATTGTAACTTGTTAAACAAAAGTAACATTCTGTCTATGTATTAAAGTACAAGGCATGTACACAAAAGTAACATCCTGTCTATTTGTTGAAGTACTAGGCGTGTGCACAAAAGTAACAACCTGTTTACATTTAGGCACGTGCAAAAATGTTACATCCTGTTAAATTTTAGGAATGTGCACAAAAGTAACAACCTGGTTACATTAAGGCATGTGCACAAATGTAACATGTTGAAGTGCATGGCATGTGCCCAAAATTGTTGGTGACTGAATATATTAAAGAAGCAAGAGAAGGTCTCAAAGCCTCAGAGGAACAATATTGCTTTGAATTTAAATAGTACAGCCAGATCTGTAGTCACCTATGTAAAAGGATATGATTTAAATAATGTTTGGTTATTTTAATGTTCCAAGTGCTCGACTCAGATGGAAAGGAAAAGCCTGGATCATTTGGTGGAGCTATTAACTGGATAGGAGCATATGATCAGTGTAATGGGGTAGAGGTATGCAATTTATGATATATTATCATTGTAAAGGGACACAAGTGTAGTGTATTTATTTATTTTAGTATTTACTTGATTCAAAACAGAACATTTTCCGAGGTAAATGTTGACATTTTTTCAGAGAACTTAATTGTATATTTTGAATTTTTATATTTAGGTTTTTCAAGTTTCAAAATGGCAGATCAGGTTGGGGATGCATGTCAAATATGATTCATGGATGCATTCAATTGCCACACCCTATTTATCTTTTTGACCTCTTAAACATGTGAACCTCAAGGAGGTGAATAATTGATATTAAAAAAATTCTTGATTGAATTTAACTTAATCAAGCTCTGTTGTTTTTATTTTGTTTCTATTGAACTCTACATAGTGCAACATTTATAAGCATTATTTTGTTTGTTTTTCTCGTTTTAAGATGCTTGCTTAAATTGTAAATATAGATACTTGGAAACAATCTTTTCTCATATTATTCCAATGTTTCTCTGACATTCTTTTTTTAATAAAAAATTCAAAATCTCAAACTTTTAAGCGGAATTATTAAAATTTTTGATAATACTGAAATTAAATTAGAATTGTTGGACCTTTTAAAACACAGGTATGGCATGGAATGTTGACAGTAAAAAATGAGATAATTTTTATGCTCAAATTATTTTCATCCATTTAATTACACAAACATATAAATTGATATTACAGATGGATGCAGACATCCCAATAGGACAGAATACTGTCAGGCTCAAGTTCAAGGGACAGTACATGTCAATCAGAATATGGGCCATTGATCCAGACAGGAACAATGCATATGTTAGTATATAAAGGCGGTTTTGCATGTTGAGAATAATTATGTGATTTTCACTTTTTTTAATTAAACCTGCAGATAATTAATAAAATTGGTATTTTTTTAATCATTTTATGTGAATGATTACAGTGTTATGGTGGTAGAATAAATTCTTCTCAGTCCAGATATTACAATCAGAATGTTGGTAGGACATTTCCCTGGACATTTTTTTTAACTCTTAGGATAACGTGTGGAACTACCTTAACATTCAACATTTGTAATTTCTGCAAGATATACAGATCGTTGAATGTTTTTCACCAAATCATGAGTCTACAAAAAAAACTAGAAAGTATTCTGATTATCTACTATTTTATTCAGACACCATTTGACATTGGAGCATGCGTCCCTGACAGTTGTAGTGAAGATGACATAAGGAGATACATGACATATGGGGAAAAGTCTGTAGTTCCAATAGAGGTTTACAATGGCAAGCAATGGGATAATATATGGGCAGATAGTGGCGCTATAGCTATGATGTAAGTACATGTTGGCGTAGAAAACCACAAACAATGGACTCATATATGGGCAGATAGTGGTGCTATAGCTATGATGTAAGTACATGTAGGTGTAGAAAATGGCAAACAATGGACTCATATATGGGCAGATAGTGGCGCTATAGCTATGATGTAAGTACATGTTGGTGTAGAAAATGGCAAACAATGGAATAATATATGGGCAGATAGTGGTGCTATAGCTATGATGTAAGTACATGTTGGCGTAGAAAATGGCAAACAATGGGATAATATATGGGCAGATAGTGGTGCTATAGCTATAATGTAAGTACATGTAGGTGTAGAAAATGGCAAACAATGGAATAATATATGGGCAGATAGTGGCGCTATAGCTATGATGTAAGTACATGTTGCTGTAGAAAATGGCAAACAATGGAATAATATATGGGCAGATAGTGGTGCTATAGCTATGATGTAAGTACATGTTGGCGTAGAAAACCACAAACAATGGACTCATATATGGGCAGATAGTGGTGCTATAGTTATGATGTAAGTACATGTAGGTGTAGAAAATGGCAAACAATGGAATAATATATGGGCAGATAGTGGCGCTATAGCTATGATGTAAGTACATGTTGGCGTAGAAAACCACAAACAATGGAATAATATATGGGCAGATAGTGGCGCTATAGCTATGATGTAAGTACATGTTGGCGTAGAAAACCACAAACAATGGACTCATATATGGGCAGATAGTGGTGCTATAGCTATGATGTAAGTACATGTTGGTGTAGAAAATGGCAAACAATGGAATAATATATGGGCAGATAGTGGCGCTATAGCTATGATGTAAGTACATGTTGGCGTAGAAAATGGCAAACAATGGAATAATATATGGGCAGATAGTGGTGCTATAGCTATGATGTAAGTACAGGTACATGTTGGTGTAGAAAACCGCAAACAATGGACTCATATATGGGCAGAGAGTGCCGCTTTTAGCTATGATGTAAGTATATGTATAGAAATGGCGCAATAGAATAGAAAATGTTCTCTCGATAAATGTTAATCAACAGTACATGTTAAACACCATAAGATAAATTATTTTTGTAGATGTATCATACTGGTATTTGTTCTGATCGCTCTAACTGCAACAGTATTTAATTGATATGGCATACGTGCAAAGAATGATCGAAGCCTCCAAAACACAGGAAACTATTCACAAATCTATGAGGGTCGCCTCAACTCATGCAAAAATAAATAAATCTTTCGAGGCACCAGAAGAAAAGGCTAACTATTACAGCGATAAGATGTCAAATGGTGATACTAAGGGCAGTGATATGGATAAAAAGAACTTAGGTGATCAAGTTTACACAACATTAGAGATGACCCATATTGGAAGTAATGGTGTTTCAAAACCTGAACCACTTCCCAGTAAACCACCAAAATATGAGCCTAGTAAGTATTTTCAAATCTTTAATTAGGTACATGTAGTTTATCAGTTATAATGCTGTCATGGGTTTTTATAATAGAATTGATGAGATACATGTATCAACATCAGTTGATCAAAATAATTTCTTATTAAAACTGTTAAGGTTATTTTCATTTTTCACCATTTCATCGTCTTGGACAGCTTGGGCAATATCTATCTGATTGATATGACCACCTTCATCTATAATATGTTTATTTCAGGTACTGGAACCAGACTTCTTGTATCATTTTCTGTCTATACCAACATGAGTAGACTACTTTCGTTTGATGCCCCACCTGGCGCCTATCTCTGTCTCAATGCTATTAGGTTTTTGAGCATGTGTTGGATCATACTTGGGCACACCTTTCAACTTGGCATCACCATTACACCAGTTACAAACCCTACTTGTAAGTATGCAGTAGGCCTCCTATTTACAATGTACAACAACAGCCTTATGATCTTTAATATCCTAGGCTGCAGTCTCATGGTCTGTCTAAGTTTACAATTAGCCTTATTATCATTAATATCACAGGCTATAGTCTTGTGGTCTGTCTAGTTAACAACAGGCTGTCATCTTTGAAAATAAAGAGTACTCATGATTTGTCAAAGCACTTATCCAACAAGACGCAGGGGTTTGATTTCAATATGATCGAAACTTAACATTCCAAGAAAACCATTGTCTACTTTTTGACAAACAATGACTTGTGATGGTTCCAAAAACGGCCCCCGGGGAAATATTTGAATATAAGCTTACATGTACGATACAGTTCCAATATTCTCAGTCTCACATAAGATGATCTCTGTGTACCTTTCAGTGAATTCTAGAGATTGGTTTACAAACAAGTATAGCTCACTTTTTGAGTATAAAGCTCTGACACATATGCAACTGGCTGTAGATAGTTTTTTCTTACTGAGGTAGGTTCATTTCTCCAATTCAGGCAATTACCATCTTAATGATAAAACTTTCAAAAGGTAACACAGTTAAACCTGTACACACAGCCAATCTGCAACAGTACCGTATGGTATCGTTTTGGTTATGGTACTGCATGGTATCATGAAATATAGTACCTTATAATACTGTAGACTAGAACGGTACCATACAGTACCATGAACAGTGTACAGCACCATACTCAAATGGTACCAAATGTTACCATACTCTTAATGTATCGTACGGTACCGTAATTTTAGAGTGCAGATTGGGGGTGTATCCAAACACCTCTATAATCTAATTTCAGTGGATGCCTGATCACAATATCATTTTTGAAAGCAATGGCTAGGCAAGGAGGAACTGTTACCTGCAGACAAATGGCACTTTACTACTTCCATAGATATTGGAGGTAAGCTTTAGTAAATTTAGATTTGCAAACCAAACAACCTCTTATGGTACAAACGGGATATTTCTTCTTAATAGGAGCATGCCAAGGGAATTCATACTTCTAATCCTAAACAGGGGACTTTAAGAATAAAAACAGAAGAGTAAAACCAGGAGTTTTGAAAACAATGAGAACAAGTCACTAATACGCAAAATGTCACCACCTGCCATTTATTACAGACATTGAACACTGACCATCGAGTGCCAAACACTCTCCCCAAAAAGTTGGTCACTATAACAGTGCATTTTGTATATAAACATCATCTAGATATCAATTACATAATTTATACTGGCTCTTTCAGATTAACACCCGTGTATATGATTCTGATTGGATTTATGGCTACCTTGTACATGTACACTGGTTCAGGTCCTTTGTGGCCAAGAGAGTTTCCAAATGCTGTGAATTGCAAGAAATCTTGGTGGTGGCATCTACTTTATATCAACAATTTCTACAACTATGGAACACAATCGGTAACTTCTTATATCTACATTTCATGATGGAACATAAAAGCTGAAATGTCTAAAGATAGAAAGTATTTCTACCCATCTATATCTCGTAAAAGAGTAAAATAAACAAAAATTATTTATATACTCTTCTCTGTGATGTCAAGGTTGGTACCATGTTCTTAAAAGTTCTCAAGAAAGAAACCATGTTCCAATATATTATGAAACATTGAATAAATATCTGGTGTATCATATGTTTCAGTGTATGGGATGGAGTTGGTACCTGGCCAATGATATGCAGTTTTACATCATATCTCCTGTGATATTCATATTCCTCTACAAGTAAGGAAAACACATACATGTATAGGGTGTCCGGAAAGTAATTTTGTGTGCCATGGGAGGGCTCTGATTTATTATTATTAAAAGCATTATACTCCTATACAGGTTGTACCTTTATTTGAGAGGAGATTTTCTAATACACACTGATTTATTCAACCTTACATATTTAGTATTTACTCACATTTTATTTCATGGTTTTAAAAGCATAGTATCATCGTATATTGCTTTATATTTTTATTGGCTCTGGAACCCATAAACTGAAACATTGGTAGGTTGTAAACAATCACTTTTATCGGTTAAATTAACACAATACAACATTGATGTTAATACTTTTATTGTCTAGGGTACCTGTTGTTGGATTTATCATCTCTGGAATTCTGTTTGTTGGGAATATCGTGAGCATTGTTACACTACATCTTGTAGGTAAGCAGCATAAGCAGTTAGAATATATTTCAATCATTGCTCCAAAACATAATAATTAAAACATAATTAGTGTCATTGCATTTTCATTATTTTTCCATAAAAACTGTATGTAATTGTAAAAATTGACTAAACTGAAATATATATTATTATTATTATAATACATGCTTTATAAGAGGCTTTAGTCTTATTCAAAATTCTATTGAGTACTTTGAATTTAAAAAATAAGCAATCAAATGACCATATTGCAACAGTATATGAAAAAATAGAATCATATGTACAAGTCCTAGCTTTTGTTTATTTCAGATAGTTATGTTTAATGTGCAGCAAAGCTGTGGCCTTTTGTAATTTAGGGAGTTTCAGCCATGTTAACTTTTTCGAAAATAACATGGCAGAGAAGCATCAAAATATAAGAGGCCACATGTATGATAGCAAAACTACAAAACAAACTAAAATGTACAAAAGTTAGGACATGTATGAATTTTCTATCTTTACATATACTGTTTCAATATGGTCCTTTGATTGCTTATTTTTTGATTCAAAGTACTCAATGGAATTATGAATGTGACTATTGTTAAATACAAAAGGTATTTTAACAAGGTCTTTAAAACAAAATGTATTGTGTATATTCAAGATTCCTCCGATATAATAGTAGAATGCAAGTAGAAATAATCTTGATTTACATCATTATCTATTCAAAATTCAGTCAAAGTGATATATTTGAAATCTTAAAGTGAAATTACATCTAGAAATGTGGTTTCAAAAATTGTTAATTAACTTTAAAAATTTGATTCTATTTGAAAATGTGACTTCTTGTTCGGGGAGATTCCCCATAGACGCCATGTTATATAAAATCACAAAAGGTGAAATATCTTTTCTTGTATTGGACAGATGATATTTTCTTTTGCTGGAGATATTTTAATTTGCATAACTGTAAGATACATAAGGGTGATATGAAAATTGAACCACTACATGTATCTGTTAAAGGGAACTTTCTAATATACCATGCTATCTAACCCGAATGAGCCACCTAGTGGTGGAACAGGTAACTACCTACTCACATCTAAGTTATTGACCTGTTTATCAGTTGAATTGCAATAAATCTTAAGCAATGTTTTTTCAGGCCAGGCTTCTTTTGATATGGATTACATCAAGCCATACTCAAGAATTGGAGCATATATTGTTGGGGTGTGGCTGGGTTACATTCTATGGAAAAACAAAGGCAAAGCAGTGCTATCTTGGGTATCTTGATATTTTATTACACTAAAAAATGTGAAATTAGAGTTAATTTATGTTAAGGTCTGTATATTGTTCTCAATTGCTAAAGGAAACATTTATTTCGCACCCCTTGGGATGCACTGCAATAACTTAACAAATGACAATAGAATATTTACAGGATATTGATATAAATATGCACTGGATATGTCATACTACAATAATTTTAATGTCTATGGTGGACAATATTTGAAAATGTATGTAGTAATGACTCATTTATATATCTGTAAACATTTTAGTTAAAATTTGTAAAAGATTATCAGTAAATGTCCCTTTTTCTTTTTTCAATCATTTTATTCAACCTAGGGTATACATGTTTGCACTATTATGTCTCCTTTGCTTGACCTGTTTACGATGACTGCACTTGACCTGTTTACGATGTTTACGACTTCTACATGTATACCTAATGAAAAACCAACTGGTTCATATTAAACGTGACCTGGCATATGACCATTGGACCAGCCCTTAGCTCAAGCCCTGCTTGCCATGTGGGATTTCACTTGGTGTAATATCACGCGGTAATAACTTTGACCGTTAATTTGAATTTTTGACCTACCAGATCGTTTGAAAATCAAGGATTGTGAGTCGCATGTTGCACCGTTTTTCTTCAAACTTGTCCCATTCAAAGCATAACAAAAATGCCTTTCTGTTGGTACATTATTCTGTTATACAGAGTCCCTCGTTTTAGCAGCGTTTGGGTCCCCAGCTGTGAGAAGGCTTCTCACAGCTGGGGACCCAAACGCTGCTAAAACGAGCAATGCACAGACAGAACAGCAATTTTGTTTTGCTTTGAATGGAAAAAGTTTGAAGATAAAAGGTGCAACAT